AATGGCTGCAAACCTTTGACAAATTTTCTAGAGTTCTGAAGAAGTTAATTCTAATATTTTATTTTGTCAGTTTTAGTATTGCTTTTGTAAAATAATTTCCAGAGGTCCTTACTCTACCATTTACCCTAATGATTCATGAAAATTATTTTTTAATTGCTTTACTTCCCCCCTTTTATTTTATTTATTCATGTGATTGACCTTTATGTCTTTTTTTAAAAAAATAATTTAAGTTGTTAATTTTTTTTTCAGATAAAGTTTTTCTTTTAAAAAAATTTTGTGTTCCTGGTGGCAAGAATCAAGACTGACAAAAAACTTCAGCCAATAATGTATTTCAAAGGGAATAAACATGAACTAGGAAGACGGTCAAAATTTCACAGCTCTAAAAAAACCTTTGTATGTCAGCTTATGATAATCACCCTTACAAGGTAGTATGCCTTGATAGATGTTTAGTAGGTCTACCTGACATTTATGCAAATGTAATGAAAGCAAGTGTTAGTATTTTACTTTTATCTATTTCTGTTTAGATAAAATGATCAAACTGGATAATTTTTTTTTTTTAATTCAAAACCAATAACCGAATTCCTTTTTTTTTTAAATTTATTTATTATTATTATACTTTAAGTTGTAGGGTACATGTGCATAACGTGCAGGTTTGTTACATACGTATACTTGTGCCATGTTGGTGTGCTGCACCCATCAACTCGTCATTTACATCAGGTATAACTCCCAAAGCATATAGATATAAACACTGTATTAAGCATGTTTGTGAATACATGTACACCAGGCATGGAAACCAGGGGAAAAGAGACTTTGATAAATATGCCTTTTTAGAATTTTGTGAATAAAGACTAGATTTGTTTGTACAGTCTTAAAAAGAAAAAGCCAGCTTTCTGAGAAAAGAATAAAATGACAAAATTACCATATATTTAATATTCTGTATATTTTAATACTTCAGCCAATGTCTGTTTCCTAATTCCCTAATAAATATTTTACTCCCTTCCCACAAATAGGCTATAAATTTGAGTAGAATTAAAGACTATGGGCATATTAAATTATAGTCATGACCACACTGACAACAGCAATTGTATGTAACATAGCTTATGAATTAGTTTGCCTCGGATAGGTCTTGTTCCTAGTTTGCACTTGACATCTTCAGTTAGTTCATAGTTTTATCATCCTTCATGTTCACAAATACATACAACTTGTTTTTCATAGAACAGTGTTACATAGTTTCTAATATAAATATAGAAAAAAAATTACCCACACTCCTTTGATATCTAATATCTGCTCACCTCTGCAGTCTCTTCTTATGTCACTCTGAACTTATTCACCCTAGTCATTGGCAACTTTTGTTAGATTTTTGTAAATACTCTCTGATATCAGCTCTTTTCTCTGTGAGAAAGATCATTCCATCTATGCACTGTCCAGTGTCTACTCATCTATCAGATTATTTGAAATATTATTTCCTCTTCACTGCGCAATTGTCACTCAGTCTAAATTATCAGTTTCATTTTAAATATTCTCATAATCTCTGCTCTTTCCTTTATAAAACACTTTATTTTTAATCCCTGTTATCAATAAATTTGGCAATCCTGATACTCCCTCAATAAACAAGCCTTTTACTTCATAAGTAAAAAGCGATGCCAGTTACTTAGGGTACCAGTAGTAGAACAGAAATATGTTTACTGAAAAGCAGTTAGGCATTTAATTTTTCTACATTACATTAGTATAAACATCACAACTATCTATCTGTCTATCTATCTATCTATATATCTATCTATCTACCTACCTATAATCTATCTCTCTATCTGCATCTAGATATCTATACATATATACACACATTTATGGCATTACATATATTTATTTCACACATACCAATATATATTATTGTTTTATTTTTTTCTCTTTCTCCAAAACTAGCAGTTTATCCATTGAGCTAAGGATTAACAGTATGTAATCTAAATTTTAATAGAAAATTGGTAATCACATTTTAAAGCTTGAAGGCTTTTTTTTTTTATTTGCTCAGAAGAAACACGTAAGTAAATGATATCTGTCAACAAACAACTGTTGGCATGTAACTAACGTTTTAAAATTATATGGATAAAACAATAATCGTGGTAGCATTTAAAATCACACTTTAGCATCTGAGGGTAAGGTTTAAAATTTCTGCATAGTTTAAAACCATATCTTCTTTAACAAAAGCTGTTCCTCCTCCTTCTTAGTCACATTTATCTGATCAAGAAAAACAAGTGATTTTAAAGCAATATATTGTGCTTTTAGAGATACTATGTAAAGAAAAATGTCATTTGAAACTTTATAAGATTTAGTATATATAGATATGCTACAGCCTATAACAATTAATAGACATATTCATATTCAAAGTTAAATTAGAGTTTAATAAAACTACTGTTTACATTAAAGTAGATCAAATATTCTCAAGTTGGTGGTGTGGGGATCTCAAGAACATTTCAGTTGTTTGAAATTGTCTTTTTTCTTTCAGTGAACAAAACACAAAAATGACAATGTGATTAGGCCACTGGTTTTAAAGCTGATGAAATGTATGCAAACATATTTTTATAAAATTTCTCAGCTTTAATTCTTAATATGGTAAATATTGATAGATGTCAACCCTATCAACAAAAGCCCATTTTGCTCCACAATAATTTACTTACAGAGTAAAGTGACTTGGAGACTAAAAAGTTTGAAAACCATTTGTTTAAAATACTGTATATGTGTAAGTTCACATTTGTATTAAGTGAAAGATATATGTAAGGTTGTTTCCTTAAAATTGACTTACTTTTTAACTTTAATTTTACTTGGAACAATAAAAATATTTTAATTATAATTAGTGATGACAAAAGTTGTTAAATGATCTTGGTCTTCCTCAAGAAGAGAAGAAAATCAGTTAGAAAATTTCATACATAAAGAAATATTCATTCTTATTTTGCAGAAAAAAAATTCTAACAACAAATAGGTAAATTACATAATAAGCCCTGGAAGTATATGCTTAGGTATGTATATATTTCTAAATGGTGAAATTAATGAATTGTAAGGAAAAATAAGTTTATCATAATTTCAATAGTTATATATAAAATGGTTCAGATGTAATCATGTATGTCATTCATTAGAGATCCAGTATTTTTGCAAAAGCTATGCTAAATTAAAATGGAATACCCAGTGGATATCATTTAAAAAGCAACTGAAGTTTTATTCTAAACAGTAGTAATTGATCCTACAGCGAGATTTATTCTGTAATCATGGAAGTCAATGGCATTTACAACTAGAATAAATTAAGGTAAATGAAGAGGAAAATTGTATTCTGTGTAACATTTAGTTCATTATAGGCTTAAACAACTATGTCAATCCATGTTCATCAATAGAAGTTATGGTGCTTGCAGACATAATTGAATGAAAATATTATCTCCAAGAAACAGCCAATGTTACACAAGCATAGAAATCATTATTGTTTTAACTGCTCTTCTTTTCAAGTTCTTACTAAAACGGATCAAAAATGTGAGTGATTTGTAAAGCTTTTGCATACTCTCTCTTTTGAATTTTAATATAAAGAAAGAAATTAAAGTAGTGCTTTGGAGCTACAAGGGAACTTGTTCCTTTAAGATTGTTGTTTTCTTTTTAGAAATTATATTATGCTTATTTCTACTAGTTGGATTAATTAGAATCTCCATGTCTAATTCAAGAGCTTGAACATATATTCTCGAAGAAACTATACAATTGAGATTTATAGATTCTAATTCTGAATGCAAGAGTATTATTTACTAATAGGTGAACATTATGTTTACCAGGGGTTAATAACAGTAACAGTACTAGCAGAAATAGTCAATTATCTGAAAGGTCTCCCATGAATGAGGCAGAATTCCACTCCCATCTACTTTATGAGAATGAGAGAATCTCTTCTTTAAGGCAAAGCACGATGAGATAATAAGCACTGAGCTGGGCATTACTCCATCATTAAATTATGATTGTGTGTATATATATATATTCATATATATGTGTATATATGTGACATATATATATTCTGTCTTTTTTTTCAAGTAAATTACAACTTATATTAAAAGCAGATTCTTTATTGGCTGAATGTGCTGCACTAGATATTTAAAATAACACAAACATTCATGGTTGCAGTTTTTAAATTTAGCTCATAGTTGAGTTAGATACAACAGTTAACATGCTTAGGAAAGACAATATTCTGTGTATTTCTTAACAGCTTTATCAAGCACATTTGTAAAAGATTAAACTTTCATTTCCAGTTACTATGATTTCCCCCATACTTCAAATGAACCAACACTTTCATTTATTTTAAATAAGGGAAACTGTACTACACTGTGCTCTAAAAATACTTGCATTGATGAGGACATTAATTTTAGCTTTTAAAAAAGGAGACTTTAAAATAACCTTAGAAAATTTTGAAAACCTTGACAAGCCGACTACAAATAGAGAATTCCTCAGTTTTCAGATGCAACGGTATGATGGAGTTGGGCGGGCAGCTGATTTGTGAGAGAAGTCACGGTGACCTGAACCTATTCCAGTAAAGACAGTCAGCAGTGAATGTGGGGCAAGTGCACGTGGCTGGTCTACAGCTCCCACTGCCTGGTGACCAAAGAGCATCCTGAGGTTTCAGAGAAGAGACTGTGTGAGAGCAGCATTCTTCCAGCTACTGAGCGAGATCCTTCACCGGATAAGAGGTGGCAGAGAGAAAGTAACCTGCTGAAGGCGGGGGCAATGGCGGGCAGGGAGTTGGCCGTCCACGTGGAGCCTGGTCTTTCCTTTAGGGGACCCTGAAGTCTGCAGCTGCCCCTCCAACACCTATGAGTGTAACACAGTGACCGGCACTCACACTGCATCACAGATAACATACAGGGCCTCAGGGACTGCAACACGTGGATGTGAAGTGATGCACATCAAATTAAGAGTGAGTGAGAATTACAAAAGCTAGTGCTTAGCCTTGTTATTTTCCCGGACTTCCTTTATTTGGCAGGTATTTATGTTTTCATTATGGTTGAAGAAGCTGCTTGGAAACAGGTGAGCTGCAAGTGCATGCTACTCTTGAACTTGATCAGGAGCTCTTCCAGTAACTTTTTATCTGCTCCACTGGAAAGCTGGGGCAGGGCTTCCAAGGTCTGCTTAAAACTTGACTTGCTTTCAGGTGTCAGGTAAACAGCCACAGTGTCCCTTAAAGCACAGATTTCAAGTCTTGCCTGTAGAGCTCCATTTTTGCTGAAGGATGAAACACATTGCATCAGTCGACTGAGCTCTTCAGAAACTGCTTCTGTCACCTTGAACAGTACCTGAGGGGCCAGTTCTTTGGAAATAGTGAACACCTCTGCGTGCGCAGCAATTATATTCACCAGTGCTTCTTTTAAATAGTTGCTGACACCTGTTGGAAGCAGGCAGTCTTTACAATCAAAATATCCTGCACAAATTCCAGGTTCTAAGTAGCTAACGACGGGATCTGCTTTCAACTTGATGTAATTTTCAAAGAGTCTTTGATCTAGTTCTTTCAATGAGGCCATGCTAACCTGTGTTATTTTTTCTATTCCCTGGAAGTTGTGCTTTTGAAAATGTTCTGCGATATTTAGGAAGGTGTGACGTTCTAGATAGCAGTAATTACTTAGGACTATCAAAAGGCGCTGTTCAGAGGTCAAGCTGAAGTCTTCGTGGATACTTCCAAACAAATCAGCGGAAGAAACATCAACAGAGAGATGTGTAATATCTATATCTGCATCAGGCTTGATGCTCAACTGTTCCAGACAGTGTGTAAAAACCTGCATTATATTAATGCTTAGTTGGCAAACCTCCTCCTGTGTTTTAGGTTGTTGAAAGACACTGGCCTCTCCCGGCTTACACTCCAGAACCCCCTTCAGTGACTGCAGAGAACACACGATGCACTGTTCAAACTGACATGGTAGAGAAGTCAGTCTTTCATTATCAACAATCCAGTCTTCTTTTTCAGCCAATCTCTTTATTTCTTCCGCCGTGTGCTGCAATGTGACCATTACGCAACGTACTCGGAGATCCAAAATGAGATCCTGGATGGTCTGTAACAGGTCGTTAGGAATTTCAAGGGCAGTCGAGGATTCATGAGTAAATCTTACAGTCTGGATGGCGTGAGCGAGCCACTGTCCAGAGAGCTGGCACTTCACCTCCCAGCCTCCGTACTGCTTTGCTTCCCCATCCCGGATGCTGAGGGGCACATATATTCTGTCTTTACTAGGTGGCTTTGTACATCTGAGTGGTGAGTTAGTATTCAAAAGTATATTGGGAGTTTTCCTGCCTATCCACACATATTCCCTCTTGATTTAAACAACATACTCCTTTCATTTTTTCTTTTGATTTCTAGAAGTTAAATTTGATTCTTTATTAGATGTGTTTGATCATCCTATATAGGCTCCCATTCCATGTGAATGCATTTAAGCATGTCTGTTTCTGCACTGTATGTAATGAGTCTTCCTGGCAAAAGAGACCAGGCTGAGTAAGACTGAGAGTGGAAAAAAAAGTATTGTTTCTTCTAGGCCTTCTAAGCTGACAGAGCAGAGGCATGTATGTGTGTATAATAACCCATGAATAGAAACATAGCTATAAATATTTCTGTATGTAAACCTTTTTACCTATATTAATCTGAACATCCCATACTGGTTTCTTCAGCTCTAATTCATTAAGGCATTGATAATTATAGCCTTTTCAATTTGCTCAAGTCTAACCTCCAATTCCAACAGTGAGAAACCTAATTCTCTCTATCTGGCATCCATTTCCATACATGCTTAATTTCAGTAGGCATATATAGTGCTTTCAAAACTGCTCAGCTTTGCCCTTATGAAAAACAACTTTATCATGAATGGGTGCTGTGGCTCATGCCTGTAATCCCAGCTTTTGGGAGGCCAAGGAGGGCGGATCATGAGGTCAGGAGATCGAGACCACCCTGGCCAACATGGTGAAACCCCATCTCTACTAAAAAACCAAAACAAACAAATAAACAAAAAATTAGCCAGACAGGGTGGAACGCACCTGTAGTCCCAGCTACGCAGGAGGCTGAGGTAGGAGAATCGCTTGAACCCGGCAGGAAGGGGTTGCAGTGATCCGAGATCTAGCCACTGCACTCCAGCCTGGGTGACACAGCAAGACTCTGTCTCAGAAAAAAAAAAAAAGAAAGAAAGAAAGAAAAGAAACTTTATCAAGTAGAATGCTCTCACTTATAAATGAGAATATGCAGCATTTGGTTTTCTATTTCCATGTTAATTTTTATGATTTCTTTTCCTCTATATTCTTTGTTTAAATTTTTCTTTCATTTTGTATGATAAAAGTTTAAATTATTGATATCTTACCTTTATTTTTTTCTAAAATATGCACTTAAGACTAAAAATTTGACCCTGCGTAATGCATTTGCTACACTAACAAAAATTGGTAAGTTAATTTTTATTTTTATCTACTTTGATTTATTTTCTGTGAGACTTTTTTATCCCATGTGTTATTTAGATGTGTGTTAATTTCCAAATACTTGAGAGTTTTCCAGCTCTTCTTCTGTTACTGATTTACTGTTTAATGCTATCATGTCTGACAGCATACATTGTATGATTTTTTTCTCTTTTAAATGTGTTTAAGTGCATTAGATGTGTCATATGTGATCCACACGAGCTTCAGAAAAATGTGTATTATGCTATTGTTAAATGGAGTATTCTACAAAAGCTGATGAGATCAAGTTGACAGTGGTATTCAGGTCAATATTTTTTTAATCTGCTTTATCTATGAAGAAAGGTGTTGAAGTCTTTGATTATAATAATTGATTTGTATTTATTTATTTATTTATTTCGAGGCAGAGTCTGGCTCTGTGGCCCGGGCTGGAGCGCAGGGACACGATCTTGGCTCACTGCAACCCCCACCTCCCAGGTTCAAGTGATTCTCCTGCCTCAGCCTCCTGAGTAGCTGGGATTACAGACACGTGCCTGGATAATTTTTGCATTTTTAGTAGAGACGGGGTTTCACTATGTTGGTCAGGCTGGTCTCGAACTCCTGACCTCATGACCTCCTGCCTCGGCCTCCCATAATGCTGTCATTGCAAGCATGAGCCGCCACGCCCCGCCTTCTTTTATTTCTAACACTTTTTATCTAAAATATTGTGATGGTATATTGTTAGTTACACACACACAATTGTATTGGATTCTTGAAAATCAATTCCTTTATCTTTCGTAAAGCTGCTCTTTATCCCTAATTAGTTTTTTGTTTGTTACTAAAGTCAGTATAGTTTGTCTGAAACTAATAAAAATACTTCAGCTTTAAAACTACTGTTACATGGTGTATCTTTCTTCATCCTTTTACTTTTAATCTGTAGCTGTTGGGTAGAATGTCCTGTAAATGTCTATTACAGTTGTATTTTTAATCACTCCTCCCTTAGAATATAAGTTCCATGAGGACAGGAAATTTTGCCTCTTGCTAATCTTGTTTTTCGCTTTATCTCAAGCACACAAAATAAGCACAGTAGGGGCTCCACAACAATGCCTGGAACATAGACGGAGCTCAGTAATATAAATGAATGCTATAATTTCAGACTCTGCAAATAAAGGATTTAGGGAAGATTAGTCCTTGAGGCATAGGAGGAAGTATAATCCTCATTATTTTTTATAAGACATAGATAAATTTTCATTCAGCAATAAAAACCCACTGAATTTTTTACTTTGAGATGTTTAATTTTAAAAAAACAGCAATCTCTATAACCTTTTTTCTTCTCCATAATTTAATGATAAGTCCTGTTTGTTATAAAAACAGTTAATTTAATCATTTCAAACGTAAATAAAGTCAAAAGTAAAATGCATTTTCTGGCATGTAGTCCACTACCCCTTTGATTTGAACCAGATGTTTCTCACTCCCCAGAAATAATCACATTAAGAATCTGAATGACAGAATTGTGGCTGTTTTCTAGGCACACACAATTTGTGCTTTGAAACTTGATTTTTAACTTCACTATCCTCAAAAGTTTTCCACCTTTGATCTCATTCTCTTAAAAACTGTGTGTCATTCATCAAATTTAATACAGCCTATCATAATGTATTTAAACAGCTCTTGTACCAGTTTTCAAGGGGAATACTTCCAGTGTTTGCCCATTCAATATAATATTGGCTGTGGGTTTGTCATATATGTCTCTTATTATTTTGAAGTATGTCCCTGTCCCTTAAATACCTAGTTAATTGAGGCTTTTCTTTTTCTTTCTTTTTGAGATGTAGTTTCATTTTTGTTGCCAGACTGGAGTGCAATGGTGTGATCTTGGCTCACCTCAACCTCTGCCTCCTGTGTTCAAGCAATTCTCCTGCCTCGGCCTTCCAAGAGGCTGGGATTACAGGCATGCACCACACATCTGACTAATTTTTTGTATTTTTAGTAAAGATGGGGTTTCTCCATGTTGGTCAGACTGGTCTCAAACTCCCGACTTCAGGTGTTCCTCCTGCCTTGGTCTCCCAAAATGTTGGGATTACAGGCGTGAATCACCGTGCACTGCCTAATTGAGACTTTTTAACCTGAAGGATGTTGAATTTTTTTGAAGGTCTTTTCTGCATTTATTGATGACATGTAGTTTTTCTCTTTAGTTCTATTTATGTGATGAATCACATTTATTGATTTGCATATATTGAACCAATGTTGCATAAAGCCAACTTGATCATGGTGGATAAAATTTTGGATGGGCTGCTGGATTCCATTTGCAGGTATTTTGTTGAGAATTTTTGCATCAGTATTCATCAAAGATATTGGTCTGAAGTTTTGTTGTATCTCTGCCAGTTTTTGGTATCAGGATGATGCTGGCCTCATAGAGTGAATTAGGGAGGAGTCCCTCCTTTTCAATTGTTTGGAATAGTTTCAGTAAGAAAAGTATCAGTTCTTCTTTGTACCTCTGGTAGAATGCAGCTGTGAATCCATCTGACCTTGGTTTTTCTTAAATAGTTGGTTGGCTATCACTGCCTCAATTTCAGAATTCATTATTGGTCTATTCAGGGATTTGATTTCTTCCTGGTTCAGTCTTGGGAGGGTATATGTGTCCTGGAATTTATCCATCTCTTCTAGATATTCTAGTTTATGTGAGTAGAGATGTTATTATTCTCTAACAGTTGTTTGTAGCTCTGTGGGGACAAGGATGCCTTCTTTCACCAGTCCTATTTAATACAGTATTGGAAGCTCTGGCTAGGGTAACTAGACAAGAGAAAAAAAAATTATTCCAATAGGAAGAAGGGAAGTCAAACTATCTTTGTTTGCAGTTGACATGATCCTATATCTAGAAAACTCCATCATCTCAAGACAAAAGTATTTTAAGCTGATAAGCAACATCAGCAAAGTCTCAGGACACAAAATCAACGTGCAAAAATCGCTAGCATTCCTATATGCCAATAACAGGCAAGCTTAGAGCCAAATTATGAATGAACTCCCATTTGTGATTGCCACAAAAAGAATAAAATACCTAAGAATCCAACTAACAAGGGAAGAAAAGAAGCTCTTCAAGGAGAACTACATACCACTGCTCAAAGAAATCAGAGATAACATAATCAAATAGAAAAAAAAAAATCCATGCTCATGGATAGTAAGAATCAATATTTTGAAAATGGCCATAGAGACCAAAGTAACTCAGAGATTTAATGCTATTCCCATTAAACTACCATTGATGTTCTTCACAGGATTAGAAAACCTATTTTAAAATTCATATGGAACAAAAATAAGCCCAAATAGCCAAGGTGATCCTAAGCAAAAGGAACAAAACTGGAGGCATTACCATATCTGAGTTCAAACTATACTACTGGACTACAGTAACCAAAACAGGTACTGGCGTGAGAACAGGCACATAAACCAATAAGAAATAAGAAAACAGAGATTAAGACTGCACACCAACAACTATTTGATCTTCGACAAAACTGACAAAAACAAGCAATGGGGAAAAGATTCCCTATTAAATAAATGGTGCTGGGAGAACTGGCTAGCCATATGCAAAAAATTAAAACTGGAACTCTTCCTTACACCATATACAAAAATCAACTGAAGGTAGGTTAAAGACATAAATATAAAACGCAAAGCTATAAAACCCCTAGGAGAAAACCTAGGCACTACCATTCAGCACTTAGGCATGGGCAAAGATTTCGTGATTAAGATGCCAAAAGCAATTGAAATAAAGCAAACTTTGATAATTGGGATCGAATTAAACTAAAAAGCTTCTGCATAGCAAAAGAAACTGTCAACAAAGTGTAGAGACAACCTGT